TGGAAATACATTGCGCACCAAATGAACGCAAACAATTTGTATATAATGGCGGTGGAAATTAGTGTCTCATAAAGGAATCATTGATTGATTACAAAAATGTGTATGAAACATTTGATAAAGTCACATGGTATGTCAAGGTTGATTGACGTAGAGCCTCACCCTACACAAAAGGTTTGAAACAAATCGGTTCAGTAGAATATTTTCGAGACATCGGAAATACCGTATACGACGTACGTTCACATGAAATCGCTCATACGTATCCATAAGAGTTCGTCCACCTAAATGAAATGGCACTTACGTTATCGGTAGAAACTGGAAAAAGATTAAAGTACCAATTCCTTTATCGAAGGTCACACAAAAATTAAAAAATCGAGGATAAGACCTTGTGCTTAGGTATGGAATTTCGTCTATCTAACCAAAAAGCAGTCAAGTTATAGCGAATCGTCAAAATTTGTCAAATCTCGATTTCGATTTTTTTAACGATTACAATACATCCTTAATATTCCGTGTACATTAAAGTAGGTAGGTGTAAAACAGCGTAAACTGTCTAAAATTCATTTAATTTTTGTGCACAATACTTTCTCTATAGGCCTACTCTATATAAGAGAAAGTATTACAAAAAAAAGCGGGAGTGATGAACAACAAACTTTCTCTAATCTATAATATAACGCTGATGGTAGTGTGTCTGTCCCTCAGTCATCGCTATAGATTTTGGAACCATAGAAGTAAACTCATCACATGTCGTGCTTTTCACCTGCATCGCAGTGTCTTAATATAGGTATTAGAGTAAGGTTTGTTTATATAACGACTTAAATTTATTTTATAGTTGCTAGAGTTTTACTCTTTCGCATAACGCGAAGAAAATATTAAAATACACGCAAATTGCTAAAACATATTAAACGGATCAATGTCAAATATCATTTACGTTTAGATTCCAAGAAAAAGTGGATACATTTTATAAACTGTAGTGTCAAAAAACTTAATTACTTAAACTGTTTTGTAATTTTGGCAAGGGAGGTAATTTAAAAATAAATTAAACTCACGCTAATAAAAACATTTGAATGCAAAATCTCCAAGAGGGAATTATTATTGGAATAATATAATTAGCAAAATGTGAATGCAAATCTGCAGAGGACATATTGTAAGAGGGCATAATTATTGGAATATTATAATTAGCATTGATTGATAAAAGGCTATATTTTATTTATTTTATTCACTGTACGTACTGTTTACTAATTATAGTTTATAATCAACTATTCCGCAACATTATACACGCGTCATCACGCTCATTGGGTGCGCAATAGCTTTAGTCATGAAACTCTATTGTAAATTTTTAAAATTTAAAATTAAATACATAAAAAATAAAATGCATGAATTGATAAAGTGCAATTTTGTAGGTAAAACACGGATATTTTAAATACTGCCTTCTATTAATTTCAGTTACGCGTATTGTGTACTTATTTACTGATACGGCTTTATATTTTCAACAATGTTTATTATTATAGTATATGTGTAATAAGTATCCTAATATATAAAAGCCCATGTGCGCACTTCTCCCTCTCTCTCTCTGTCCGCAAAATATTTTCGCCGCATATCACATCAGAATCTGCAGAGGTATATGGAGAACTTGATAGGGGCTTTAGTTGAAAATAATATGGTATATGTTTTAATTGTATAACCAACATTTTATTTAAAGAAGAAAAATAAAATATATAGGCATATTCGAATGTAGAAAAACAGTTCTAATTATGCAACAGGAAAAGCGTTTATAGTTGTGAAAAAGAACCCATGAAACAATGACGTCACTGATGTTTATACATTAACTAATGACGTCATCTGTCGAGTTTAGAATAAAAAGAAATGAAGTATTTCATTCAAATTTGATTTAGATCTATATCTACGTACGCTATGAAATGTATACAATACAATTTTTCCGGCCTAAACATATAACATTTATTTTTATCTATTTGGATTCTAGATCTAGAGATTCTAAATCTACGCAAAAAAAAAAACAAACATAAAAAACGTTTTATTAACAAGCTTTTATGTACTAATGCACTAAATAGTAGAAAATAAATTATAGACTACTATTTAAATAACTTTAAAGAAAAGCGTGGGTCACTTTAGTATCTATTGGATACCTTTACTAATGTTTAGGAAGAGACCCACGCTTTTCTTTAAAGTTATTTAAATAGTAGTCTATAATTTATTTTCTACTTTTTAGTGCATTAGTACATAAAAGCTTGTTATTAAAACGTTTTTATTATTTTTTTTTCAGTAGCCTACTTTACATGTTTTATTTCAAATAGAGTTACATGACTAAAAACCAATGCGCGCCTACTGAACGTGATGGCGCAGCTATTGAATGTGATAACGCGCTTTTGCCGTGATGACGCGTTTGGATAGACATGCCTACTCATTTGGTCCAAATTTTAATTAATTCATTAAACATTAATTAGGCATCCAATTAAGACAAATTTAATTTCAGATTGCATGGTCTTCATGTCTTGACCCACGTGCCAAGTGTGAACCGTATCGTTCAAGTAATAGTGTCCGAATTTTCTCTCCGGCGTTTCGATCTAGACAGACAGAGGAAGTGAGTTATATAAAAGCATGTAAAAACTAGACGTAGAAGCTAAGTCGCTAAGATCTAGATTTAGACTCGAAAGATTATAAATACCGGTGTCCGATAATGGAATCTTTTTTTTAAAAAGGGGTGTTGGGTTGTTAGTAGTATTGTAATCTCGACTAATTTTATGGTTAGAAATTAGGGTTAGGCGTATGGTAGGACCAGGGTTGGGGTTAGGGACAGGGTTAGCATTGACATTAGCCAGCCAAGTGTGTATTTAGTTAACTACCAATAACCTAACACCCCTTTTTTGAAGAAGATTCCATTATCGGACACCGTTGTAAAGATATTTTATAGAAATCTTTGTTTGTTTAACTATGGAACTTGCTAATTTGGGATTAAAAAAATTAATTTGAAAGAATAGGCATATTCGCGTAAGTTTAACTTTTAAACATGTCTTTTATTCTCCATAATTGATAAGGTACCCAAGTAGCTGAGATGATATTGTACTTGATACCACGCAGGTGGTGAGGGTTCGAGACATACCAAGTCGAACTTATTTTTTTAATTTTTTTATATGTGAATCTTCCGATTTTAGACTATAAAGAAAGGAACTACTTTAGTCAAATTTGATTTAGATCTATAGATCTACTCATCAAGACGTACGCTATGAAATATATACAATTTTATCGGACAAAATAATACAAATTACTTAAAAACAACATAATGACCATTGAATAGCCAGATTTTTAAAAGAATCATTTAAGTCACTTAATCAGTGTGTGCCTGTGTTATGTTAAATGTGTCGGAATTTTAGCTAATTAGTTATTTCTTTGCTTTGTCACTAATATCGTTCAGCGTGTAGTAAAGCACATTGCGCTTTGACCAATAACTATTTCATAAATTATTTTTCTCAAACAAGTACAACATTTTAAAATTAAAATATATAGGCCTGTAGTTCACGTGAAACGGGTACCGATGTCTAGTATTATTATAATTTTCTGAACTCATTGAATGTATTTTAATGATTACTATTAGCATTCATGACATTAATAAGTCGTAAGGCCTCCTCGGGTTCATGGCTTTTACTGTTTAATTAATCGCTCCCTATTAATGACGTCACACTCCAGGGGCTGGAGGGGGGTTTCAGAAAATTTGACGACATACTTGGAAATAATGTTTGAAACCGAAAAATAGCCGTTGCTTCATGTAGTTGATTTTCTTTAAAAAAATGTCTTTGTTTTTTTTTTCAACTAAAATAAGTTACAACATCTTATGTGTGTGAGTGCATAAGTCTGTTTTCAAAAATCTGTTTTATTTTATGTTTGCCGTATTACTCCTTAACCTTGAGACGGTCAAAAGAATATGAAACATCAAAGCTTTGTATGTGTAATGGTTTCTCGTGTTATCTTATTTTTTAGGTTTTTTTGTATTGATATTATTAATTTTAAATACATTTCCTTTTTATGCTATGTCATCCTTTAGTATGTAATTTTAGAAAATAATAAATAATAAGTAATTGCTTTTTAATTTGCTTAGTACAAGTCCATTAAAAGGTGCTTATGAGCACCCCTATTTAACTATTTAAAAAAAGGGAAATAAGTCATGGAAGTGGTTTAAACGTTTGACTATCTTTCACAATTTTTTAAAAACATAGGGAAAAATAATATACCAGAGCGTTGGATGGTGTCTATAGAATAAAGATAATCCAAACGCAGCTATTGTATTCTTGTTACAAACAACATTCAAGTCAAAAATAAAAGAAAAGTAAGTTTTTTAATTATTAAAAAATTGCTTATTGTCGGCTGTGGGCCCTCTAAATGGCGTGCCCCCCCCCCCCCCCACCCTGGCGGCACTGTAGTTCCGCCACTGATGAAAACGCTGACCATGCTCAGAACATATTTTAGAAAAAAAATGATTGATTTTTTTTTAAAGTACAGTTTTCAGAGCTGCGATAGGCTGAGGTGTGACGTCAGTTTAGGTGTTGGGTCCTGGTTTTTGATGAAGATTAGTGAGGGTCGGGAGGGAGGGGAGGTAAAAATCGTTAAATATCTTGACGTTACTTATTTTATAGATGACCCAGGTGTATGTGTAAATCCAGTGCTTTATTTACTCGCTGTAATGTTGTTGTTGTTTTAATGTCACGTTTTACTTGCAGGATAAGAGATTTATGTTTGTTTTAAATTGTTAGCACGTCGATGTTAAATTAAACCTGTGGACGTCCACATGGACCCGACCCCCCCCCCCTCCAGTCCATACGCGTCCACATCAATCGATTTTTTTCCCCTCTCCTCGTGTGGACGTCATAAATGGATGACCCGTTTTTAAAAGATTTATTACACTCAAAGTTAACGGTCTTTCAATAAATTCAAGGAATGCATTGTATTAGCTGGAACTGTATAGAGTTTAAAAGGTTGTGATTTGACTTAATTTAGATTTTAAATATCTCATCTTTAGAATCCCACGTTTCATCTTTAGAATCCCACATCTCATCTTTACAATCCCACATCTCATCTTTAGAATCCCACATCTCATCTTTAGAATCCCACATCTCATCTTTAGAATCCCACATTTCATCTTTAGAATCCCACATCTCATCTTTACAATCCCACATCTCATCTTTAGAATCCCACATCTCATCTTTAGAATCCCACATCTCATCTTTAGAATCCCACATCTCATCTTTAGAATCCCACATCTCATCTTTAGAATCCCACATCTCATCTTTAGAATCCCACATCTCATCTTTAGAATCCCACATCTCATCTTTAGAATCCCACATCTCATCTTTAGAATCCCACATCTCATCTTTAGAATCTCGTGGACAATAAGCTGTATCAGTCACGCTGCCTTGGTTTCTCAATGGCATTTGACATGTGCAGTTTGTAGACAGTCTTTTTGTTTCTGTAATCTCGCTGATACTGTTTGATTTCCCAGCAGAAAATATTCGGGGCGAATACCAATGGCCATCGTGTGAGGCAGATTACAGCGCGTCAACTCCCCTTTGAATTGTGCGAGTCGGACGAGTGTTATCAGCGGCGCTACTTCTCTCAACATGTTTCTATTGTTTGACGCCCGTGTTTCTTGCTTATCTTTGATTGGTCTGGTGTAACCACGTGTCTCAAATTACCCTGCCCTGTTAGTGAACGATAAACGGGCAGTTAGTCTTAGGATAAGCAATATACTGGGTAATTGGGATATGGTCGACTCGATGCTATTCTCGCCGTATACTTGAAATAATCAACAATATTTTTTAAATTGCTACGTTAGCAATACTAGCCAACAGACAATATCGGGGCAAACTGCTAACTATATATATATATATATATATATATATATATATATATTATATATATATATATATATATATATATATATATATATATACATATATATATATATATATATATATGCAGTGGCCACTATATATTTTAGTATATAGTTGTAATTGGTGTGTCTCCAGCCCCCCCCCCCCCCTCCCTTCCATATTGCCAATGGTGTGAATTTGTGCACATATTATTTTAATCCACCTTTCATTCAAGTGAAAAAAGCTAAGTTTTTATAGTAAATTATTAGAGGTGGTATCACTTCACCACGGTAATCGGTTGAAAATATTCTACTAAACTTTTTTCTCCTCTGTAAATTTTGCAGTCAGTATCACCTCCTATCGCACCCCCTCCCCCCCCCCCCCATCAGGGTGATAGCTTTAAAGAGTTAACAGTTTAAAGTAAAGAGGTTTATCTATATTCGGTTATCAATACAGCTAGTTGTTGCATTATTTTCTATATAGTTAACAGGTTTGTCTCATGGTTTTACCCTCCCCACCTCCCTCCCCCATCCCCCCCCCCCACGGTCTGGATCGTCCATTTGTTCTTAAAATTATTTTTTATCTCTAATTTATCATTCATTCAATTGGCAGAAAAAAATATTTCGTCTATGTATTTTTCTAATTTTTGTGTGTCTTCGTGTCACCCCTTAAATGGTGTCACCCCCGCCCCCGCCTCGTGACGCCTCTCGAATACATTAAATAAAACACTCAACTTAATACCTTATATTCGATGATAATAATATTAATAATGATAATAATAATAATAAAGATGATAACAGTGATACTAATAATTAAACCGCAATGCCAACTTTATCTAGGGCATATATATAGGCCTATATATATATATATATATATATATATATATATATATATATATATATATATATATATATATATATATACTAGCCATCGGTACCCGTTTCACGTGAATTATAGGCTTATATCTTTTAATTTAAAAATGTTGTACTTGTTTGAGAAAAATAATTTATGAAATAGTTATTGGTCAAAACGCAATGTGCTTTACTACACGCTGAACGATATTAGTGACAAAGCAAAGAAATAACTAATTAGCTAAAATTCCGACACATTTAACATAACACAGGTAAACACTGATTAAGTGACTTAAATGATTCAGTTAAAAATCTGGCTATTTAATGGTCATTATGTTGTTTTTAAGTATTTGTATTAGTTTGACTGATAAAATTGTAAATATATATATTTAATAGCTTACGTCCTGATGAGTAATCTATGGATCTAGATCTAAATCAAATTTGAATGAAGTAGTTCCTTACTTTATAGTCTAAAATCGGAAGATTCACATATAAAAATAAATTAAAAAATAAATTTGACTTGGTGGGTCTCGAACCCGCACCATCTGCGTGGTATTAAGTACATTTTCATCTCAGCTTTTTAGGCACCTTATAAATAATCTAGAATGAAAGACATATTTAAAAAAAATAAGCTTACGCGAATATGCCTATTCTTTCAAATTATTTTTTTTATCCCAAATTAGCAAGTTCCATAGTTAAACAAACAAAGATGTCTATAAGATGTGTTTACACCGGTGTCCGATAATGGAATCTTCTTTAAAAAAGGGGTGTGAGGTTAACTAAATACACACTTGGCTGGCTAATGTCAATGCTAACCATTTCCCTAACCCAAACCCTGGTCCTACCATACGCCTAACCAGTGGCGGAACTAGAAAAAAGGGGCCACCCCGCAAAAAAATTTTTTAGCCCCCCCCCCCCCATATAAATAAATAAGCCTATATATGTATATATAATATATGTATATGTATATCTATCTATCTATCTATCTATATATATATATATATATATATATATATATATATATATATATATATATATATATATATATATATATATATATATATATATATATATATATATATATATGTATATATATGTATATATATGTATATATATATATATATATATATATATATATATATATATATATATATATATATATATATATATATATATATATATATATATATATATATGTATATATATATATATATGTATATATATATATATATGTATATATATATATGTATATGTATATATATATGTATATGTATATATATATGTATATGTATATGTATATGTATATGTATATATATATATATATATATATATATATATATATATATATATATATATATATATATATATATGTATATGTATATATATATATATATATGTATATGTATATATATATATATATATATATATATATATATATATATATATATATATATATATATATGTGTGTGTATATATATATATATATATATATATATATATATATACTTAAACACAACATACGAACATAGGATACTTATTCATGCTGGCCTGTTCGTGTTATGAGAAATACGTGGGTTTTTTTTTAATTAAAACAAATTACAACATCATGCCATGAGTGTAAGTGCATTAGTCTGTTTTGTGAAAATCAGTTTTACATTATCTCTGCCGTAAGACCGTTAACTGTCGATCGGTCAAAAGAATATAAAATATGAAAGCTTTCTGTAAATAATGGTGTCTCGTGTCATGTTTATTTTAATGTCTTTTTGTATTTATTTTATTAATTTTAAATACTTTTTATTTTTATACAGTGTCATTCTTTAGTAAGTAATTTATAAACAAAAAATAATTAAGAGAAGTAGTTGCTTTTTAATTTGTTTAGTACAAATCTATTAAAAAGAGGCTATGAGCATCACTATTTGACTATTTAAAAAAGGGAAATAAGTCATGGAAGTAGTTTAAACGTTTGCTTATCTTTGGTAAGTTTCATTGTAGGAGAAAGAGGACTCGACTTTCACAGTGGTTTAAAAACGAAGGAAAATGAGCGTGGGGTGGTGTCTATAGAATAAAGATAATCCAACCGCAGCTACGGTAATCTTTTTTACAAAACAAACATTAAGTAAAAAATGCAAGAACATTTTTTTAAACTATAACAATTTTTTTTATGGTCGGCCGTGGGCCCCTAAATGGCGTGCCCCCCCCCCCCCCCGCATTGCGGGGTCTGGCGGCACTGTAGTTCCGCCCCTGCGCCTAACCCTAATTTCTAACCATAAAATTAGTCGAGATTTCAATATTACTAACAACCCAACACCCCTTTTAAAAGAAGATTCCATTATCGGACACCGGTATTTATAATCATCCGAGTCTAAATCTAGATCTTAGCGACTTAGCGTCTGCGTCTAGTTTTGCGTAGATTTAGATCTAGTGTAGATCTAGAATCTCTAGATCTAGAATCCAAATAGATAAAATAAATTTTATAAGTTTAGGCCGGAAAAATTGTATTGTATACATTTCATAGCTTACTTAGATCTAGATCTAAATCAAATTTGAATGAAATACTTCATTTCTTTTTATTCTAAACTCGGCAGATGACGTCATTAATTAATGCATAAACATTTGTGACGTCATTGTTTCATGGGTTCTTTTTCACAACTATAAACGCTTTTCCTGTTGCATAATTAAAACTGTTTTTCTACATTCGAATATGCATTATTTTTTTAAATTTTTCTTCTTTAAATAAAATGTTGGTTGTACAATTAAAACAACTCCCGTATTATTTTCAACCAAAGTCCGTATCAAGTTCTCCATATATCGCTGCAGATTCTGATGTGATATGCGGCGAAAATATTTTGCGGACAGAGAGAGAGAGAGAGAGAGGGAGAAGTGCGCATATGGGCTTTTATATATTAGTATATATATATATATATATATATATATATATATATATATATATATATATATATATATATATATATATATATATGGTCAATATATTACTGTATTAATCCATTCAACCTTATATTAATGTGCTAATCCATTCAACTTTATATTAATGTGCTAATCCATTCGACTTTATATTACTGTGCTAATCCCTACTACTTTATATTACTGTGCTAATCCCTACTACTTTATATTAATGTGTTAATCCCTACTACTTTATATTACTGTGCTAATCCCTACTACTTTATATTATGTTGAACGTTCATTCAGGAAGCGGAAGTTATGAGCATGCACCTCCGTATGTCGAGTTTACATTTGAAAATAATTTCCAATCCAATGTTTACACAAACTATCACAACACGCAGGCTAGGTGGCTACCGGCAGTGGTCTACCTCCCCTCTGCTAACCGGAAACACGTGTTCGTGTTTACAATTTGAGAAGCTGCATTAGAAAGTTCAGCAAAATGTAATGTATCAAGTACACCGAGTATCAAGTGATTAATGATCTACGTAGCTTGAGGGTAGGTCTAGCTCACACTGGGTATGAAACCATGGCATTGAATGTAGAGGTTCACTAAAACACTTGATCAATTCTAACCGAATCTATCAGCGCAGTGTTAAAGATGGCAAATGTTGGCAAATTTTACTCGATCAGCCAGATGAGCGGGTGTTCAAAGGGAATGATTGACCAGACAATCTCATGACGTCATAAATTAGTTGCATATTGTGATGAGGAAGTGGTAGCCACACACATTACCGGGCAAAGAAAAGAGCA